GAACGTGGGGAGAGAACTGTCAAAATATTGACAGCAGCATCCGTTATGCTTTTTGCCCAAATTGATATTCTATTTTTGGCGAGTATGCTCGAATTCATTAAAAAGCATAAAAAATATTTCGGTAAAAGAATCCGAACAACAAAAGTAAAGCTAAATAAACATATGGATGGTTAATGATTGTAGCCCCATAATGGCCCTGTTCTGTCTGGCTGGCTAGCTGGCTAGCTGGCTGGCTGACTAGCTGTCTTCGGGGCTGCTCGATATGTTGTAATCTTGTGTAAACTTCTGACAGTTAGGTCCAGAATAGCTGCATCAACTAATTTCTTGTGAATGAATTTGCCGATCGCTTCTAACTGTCTTTCCACTACAAAAATTTGAATATTGAAAAGCTCGTTTCCAGTTTTCCGCAGGGAACTCATCTTGGAACAATTATTAATGAAACGTAAAGCTTTTAGAGCCGCAAGCCACACGCTAGAGTGTGTGAAGCACTCAACTGGCCAGTGGTCAGTGAAATACCATAAATTATCGTAAGTATATATAAGTATCTATTTTTGAGTTCATTCATACACGATGTAGATGACGATGACGACGACGACGACGTCGGCGACGATCTTCTCAATTAATCTATCTATAGTCATTGCATCTGGCTCAGGGCTATGGCCGCCTAACAGGTAGAGATTGTTAGCTAAACGAATTCGAACCCGCTTTCTCACACGTTCGACTTGGACACGGCTCGGAGATTTGTCCATCCGCCAGCTCTGTCATATTTGTCTGATCTGCCGTTGTGCGGCCGGAATTGACAAATTGCATTCATCGAATTAATGATAGGCTAAATGGTGTTTTATTAATTGACCCGCCGGAGCAGGGCAGACACGGTACACCGGGCTCAGAGGTGCGCGTGCGCCGTCGCGTTGAAATTGTAAATAGCTAGAAAATTACATGTAATTAAATTCGCATTTTTTATCGAGACAGGAAAGGGTGAGGGATTATGGGTCTCAGAGGGACTTATGTTTGTTTACACGATTAACAAGACACAATAAAGGTTGCAGCACGTACTATACGTGTATATATTGCTTTGACAGAACTGTAAAGTTTCAGTTATTTGTGTAAGATCTAGTATTTTGAACTCTTTACTTAATAGTACCCCAATATTATACGGCAGAAATAATGAGGACGTTGACGCGAAGGCCACGATTGTTGCCATACTATTTTGGATATACAAGTATACTTGTACATATATTATATGTATTTATTTGTACATTTTGTGTTTAAAATGCATTTCCACACTTGAGTTAAAAGTTACAAAGCGGAATTTTATTTGGAAGGAATCAATTATGAAGTAATAATTTCCAATCTGGCACATATAACAGTCATTAACTATACAAAGTTCCCACTAAATCCAAAAACCAAGAACCGAAAACCGGTAGAAAATTACATTTATACAAAAAAGTATTGCGTTTAGTAACATTTGTTCATTATATCTTCGTATTATTTATTGAGACTCACAATGCGCTTACCAATGCTTAGGAACGAACCCTCGTTTGGAGAAATATGTGGATACGATAGGACATTTCAAATAAATTAAGAATTGATATTTAAATTTTAGAGAAGAGCGTGGGCTAATAAGCGTCGATGTACACCAACATATACTCGTACAACGTATAGATAGACTATAGATAATTATATGTATATATGTAAATTATGTGTGCAAAGTTTGGTTTAGGTAGAATTTGAAATGTGGACGCTATGGGCGAAATTCTGTAGCGGGGGAAATTGAAAAAAAAAAAATAAACTCGTCCTTTCTCGGACCTAGGACAATCTGGATGCCAACTTTGGTTATTCTAGCTTTTATAGTTTCTGAGATCCTCGCGTTCATCCAGACGGACGGACGGACAGACGGACGGACGGACGGACATGTCTAGATCGATTTCTCTCGTCATGCTGATTCAGAATATATATACTTTATAGGGCCGGAGATGCTTCCTTCTGCATGTTACATACTTTGCACAAACCTAATATACCCTTTTTACCTTACGGGTACAGGGTATAAAAACTGCAATATTATGGTTATCAGTATTGCAAACTAGGGAGAGGCAAAAACTGTGTGAGAGACATGCAAACTCTCTTTCTCTCTCTCTCTCTCTCTCTCTCTCTCTCTCTCGGCTGCTTCCTTTGAGACTAAAAAGTTGCTATAGGCAAGATCTTTTTAGATTTCAAAAAATATCTCTGTTCGTATCGGGTTTTCGATATTTTCCCAGGGGTTCACTCTGCTGCCCAAATCGTTATTTATTTGTTTATTCAAAATCGTTTTCATCGCCTTTAGCCCAATTCCCTCTGGATGCAATGCCAACGCTTTTCCAATCTTCAAAGCAGTCTTAAAAATCCTTTTTTGGAATGGGCTTCAGAAACTTCTTTGATTCGGCATAAATTTTCTCAGTCTAAATTAGGCAAATAAGGTAGTTGTGTAACGATATGTTTCTTGTTTTTGGTGAATGGGAGGATGAGTGTTTGGGAATCAAACGAGATTCGACTTTTACGAGGCACAAAAGTTATCTTGAATTTGTGTTGACAAATTCATTAGAAGTGCCAATAACACCAACAATGCATTTAGCTGTCAGTCTTCGATTTTGGAGCAGCAACTCTTTGATTTTCCTAGCTTGTTGGGCATCCGTTGATGGTCTTGGCTGTCTTCACAAATCACAAGACCACCTCAAATGAAAGTACTGACAATTTAACGCTGGCAACATAAAAATAAAGATTTGTCCCTATCGAAACACCCGCTCGATTTAAGGGTCATATTTCCGGATCGTATTTATAAACAATATAATGCATTACTTGTGCGGCATATGACATCAATTGAGTCAGTTTTGCTGTGGATATCTTTTTTCCGAGTTTCTATGTAAACGCCCCAAATCGATGTACTATATACGTGTAATTTCCAAATCACTTAATACACATCGACTAATGAGGCCTAAAAGCCCCTAACGGATGTGTGGACAATAACGACATTTATGCGTTTCGTTGAGTATGTCTTGTATGTATAAATGTATTTGTCGGTGTATTGTGTTTTTATTTTCGTATTTATTTATTTTAAAGTTGTTACGTGTATGGGTTTCGTTTCGGCTAAATTCAAACTGCAGGAAATGAGCGTGTTGACAAATAAAACATGTACATATAGTATGTATGTACTTGTTTACCATATCTATGAATTAAGCACAAAAAGCGCACAAGAAAACAAATTTCACCTGAGCTTTTGACAAATTTTTATTTTTCGTATTTTGTTTTTGTGTTTGGCATTTGAAATGCGGCGATCGTATGGCGTCGAAAATCAAATAGCTATGGCCCAAATGAAAGTTAACTGAGGCAGAGGTACTACATACATACTTGTACATAGGAAAAAATCGAAAAACAATAAACGGCAACAACAAACGGCAATTGTTATACTACATTGCTTATGTAAATGTATTTTGGCGGTGTGCGAGACGTACTTAAGATACTCGCACACACACGCAATTTTTACATTTGTTTTTAATACAGACACACACACACACACAAAATTACACACATTGGTAGGCAGACAGCCAGTCAAAACTGTCTGTGGCATCACTCTTGTTTTTTTGGCTTCTTTTCTTCTTTTTTTTTGTTTTTTTGTTTTGTTTGTTGGTGTGCGTGCGAAAATGCCGTTCTATTTATTGAGTTTTGATAAATGCGTTTCGTTTGAAGCCTCACCGATATGCCGCCGCCCCACTGGATCAGGCTAACGTTGCTGCCGCCGCTGCCGCCGCTGCCACCTCCCTCGCCACCGCCACCCAACACTCATTTGCGCCACGAATTTGACGTCGTCTCATTAGTCACATTTAAAATTGTATTTAATTACTTTCTCACTTCATCATCAGTCAAGACTGTGGGTCGCTGTCGCTGCGTCGGCGTCGGCGGTGTCGGTGGCAGCGGTGGCGTCGTTGGCGTTTTCAGCGCACGCCTCGTTATTGGCGCATAGGGGGTGGCTGGCTGTTGGGTAGGTAGGGGTGGCGTTTGGCATTAAGAGCGCGCGCCTGCGCTCCCTAAAAACGCCAAAGCACTTGCTTCTGCTTGTTTGTTTTCCCAAACAGGGCGGCGAAAATTGATATGCTCTGCTTCTGGCAACGGATATGCTCTGCTTCTGCAACGTCGCTGCTTTCATCAATTTCAAATTAGGGAAAATCGAAAACAGAAATTATTTAGTAGAAGCGTGGGGGCATGCCGATGTGATGGGGGCGCTAGCGTTCTATCTATCTATCTATGTATCTTTACCTAGCGCACGGTCATTACAAGTGTAATTTATCTTGCAAATCATTAATCAAGTCCCAGAGCTGCTGCAAAAACGATGAAAATTGTGCTGTTTTTTTTTTTGCTCTCTTGTTTATTGCTTTGGAAAAATGTGTGTACATAGTTATGCACATTATATGAAATTAATATCAGATGACTGTTTACTATTTGCCAAATGCCGTCGCCGATTCGTCAACGCCCCATTACTGGCTAGATGCTCACAACTCTCAAAATGAAAAGGGCGTATTTAAAAATCAAATCGTGTATAAAACGCGCAAGCAACAACTGATTTCTGATTGAAAGATACACAAACAATGTTCAGATACACCAATACTAATACGGGAGCACACACCTTGTCTACCATATACATACACAAAACACCAACACTGTTCTGCATGATTGTGTTATGCAAATGAGCCATATACATACATACTCGTGTGTATGTATAAACGCACAGTAGTATCTAACGAGCGAATGAACGCAGAGAGAGAGCATTGCATTTAGATTACACATTTTAATTGAACACCACCTGAGGGCAACAGAAACAGCAATCCGATTGGCTGAGCGCTCGCGAGAGCCAGATGAGCAAGAGAGCGAGCTGACGAACGCACGGAAACGGCACACATTGTGTTTCGATAACCAACGTTTCGAATGCGCGCCGACTAGTTATTCCCAATTCGAGTTTCGTGTGCGTCGGGTGGAGTGGCGGACAGTGCGCGATGATCAAATGAATTCAAATAAATGAAGAAATTGATAATTAATAAGAGAATCAGAAACACAGGAGCAGACGGAGACAACATCAGCAGTAGTTAACGACGCGTCGTTTGCTGAAGATTACAGTGTTTTGTGCTTGTGTGTGTTGTGCGATCCCAGCAAAACATTTACATAGTTAGTGTTTATGTCAAAAATGCATTTGTAATCCAAAACATACTCATAACAACAATAAGAAATAAATAATCATATTTGCAATAACTCGAAACACCAAATAGGCAAGGGCAAAAGAGAGAAGTGGGAGTGCGTACAAAAAACGGTTCTTTATCGCAATTCCTTTTTGGCAAGTGGGTTCATATTCGTTCAACTCAAGAGCACCACAAGCAACAACAGTAAGGAGAGCAAGTCATTTTTATAACGGTGTCTACATAGTGTGATCTATAAAAGAAAGAAAAAAACACCTACAAAAGAATGTAGATTGAAAAAGAAAAACAACTACAAAAGTGCTGTACAAAATCCATAGCTAATTTTTACAGTGTGTGTTTGGCAAATTCAACAAAAGAACACCTTACGGTCAACGGCTGTAAATAAATCTAACCCTAAATAAACTTACAAATATACACACATACCATATATAGAGCGTGAGAGGACAAAAACAAATTGCGCTCTAATGCAACTAAGTCTGCACCCGACTATGGATTGTAGCGGCCGTTCAAATAATATTGAACGTGATTCCGATTTGGGCGACGATTTGGTAAGAAAAATTATACTTGTACATTTGATATCTGCTGTAATATTTGTCAGTCAAATAATTACATTTCTCGTAGCGAAAATTGATGGAATGTGTTGCTTCCTGCGAGTTTCGAGTTTTTCGAAAGCCCATATTTCAAGGTAGAGAGTAGATGAAACAAAAATTAAGATCCTAGAGGACATTTGGAAAACAAAGCGTAAAATTTTAGATAGCATTTATACATAATCGTGCAGCAGATAAGCTTGCTGATTAACGATCAGCCTTTTAACAGCATATACTTATACTAGTTGCTTTGAAAATAAAACAATCATCCTAAACGGACTGTTCACCTATTAATTTATTATTTTAATTTTTTTTTGTTTGCAATATACGAAATATAAAATAAGGCATAATATTCCAATGTCGCTAGAGCCGATTTTGTTTGAAATCGGTGAGTTGTAAAACATGTGCACTCTACTCCTTATTTACGAAAGTCGTCTAACCTTATGGATATTTTAAAACCTTATAAAGTGTACCTAAAGACCAAAAAAACCTAAAATTGCGACCACATTGCTTGATGAAGAAATATCATAACCAGAAATATACATATATTTCACTTAAAAAGTATATCAGACAAAATAATTAGGTGGTGGGGCTTTGATTTACCGTCGGAAAGACAACAACAAATATGCGAACTCCGCGCACACCAATGCGAAATTCAAAAAGGCCTACAAAATAACCAGTTTAATAAAGTCAGGTGACACTTCAGTTTCCTTGTTGTTGCTGCCGTTGTTGTTTCTCTTTTTATTGTCTTTCGTCGCTGTTCAAAACCCAATTCATGCAATTCAACTTAAATTGTTTGCAGATGATTCAAAACGTAATTATATTGTTAAATTGTTGATTTAAAATTAACGAGACGAACATATCTATGTATATGTGAGTAGAAATGTCTTTATATACGTTTGTGTGCATGTACATACATACATACATACATACTTGTATGTATGTAGCTTCGTATATTGAGTTTTTGGCGTTGATATATTCGTTTTGTTTGTTCGAGAGCCGTTAAAAGGTGACATGCTAAATAGCTATACAACGCATTTATTATACATACATACACATACACACATATGGTCAGCGGTAGAGCTAAGTGCATACATACTCATAAATACAAATAGATTCATCTGTTTTGAGTTGAGTTGCGAGTTGAGTTGAGCGCTGAGTTGTTAGGCTCTTGGGCCCTCGGACACCCCCTCATTCTCATTCTGTCCCTCAACCGTTGTCTGTCGTCTGTCGTCTTCGCCTTCCCAAGTGGGGATCTCGTTCATATTTCATCAATTGAAAGATTTCTTTCAATTCAACTCTTTGATGGCGTTCATATGTAAATAAAATGTTCAAATATTTGCATTATTTGTTAGTACCTTAAATGAATATTAAATGGGTTTTATTGCGTTTACCTCTACCCGTCGTTATACAGAGGAGGATGCTGAGACTGCCACTTTCTTGCCGTCTGTTTGTACTTATAAATGTGTGTATGTAACTGAGTGTGTGTGTGTGTGTGTATGTTTTCTTGAATTCAATAAAACTCTTGTTAGTCTTTTGTTTTTCTTTCATTTTTATTATTGTTGATAGACAGACAGTGTTCAGTGCTCAATGCTCAGTGCCATCGCATCAACAATGAGCCAGACTTTATACACATACAGCCATACATACATACACCGGCATATATGTATGGCTATTTACATAATTTTTAATAGCCTCACATTTAGCCTGTTGCTTACCAAAGAGCTAAACGCAAGCAAGACAGCCAGCTAGCCAGCTAGCCAACTAGCCGGTTCTGCCACAACTTCTTTACCCATCGAATCAGTCCGAAAAAACTTGTGCTTAGGAGGGACCTTTGATAGCAGCGCTTTATGTAAACAGCAGCCTGTCTCGCTGGCTATCAATGTAAGGGTACAGAATTTCGGATAATTTCATTTGAATGGTGTTAATTGGAAACAGCTTTGTGCTAGACATGCTTGGACTACCCAGCCTTGAACACAGATTGCACTTTCAATTGTCCGATGTGGGTGTTTTTAATTAACCACCACATATCTGTCGATATCAGTTTGGCATTTTGAATTGTGCCAGCCAGCAGTTGCCTTAATCATACACACATACTATGTACCTACTGTATATTTGTATACATATATATATATATATATATATATATATGTTGTACTCGCATGTATGCTGGTGTCATTCGTGCGTTCAATTTTAAATCGAAAATCCTAAGCAGATCATTTGCGTTATGCGCTCGTGTGAACGCGCCGAGATTTGCCGAAAAGTCACGATTAAACAATAATGTGGGCTGTCAAAAAGTCATAAATTTTCAAATGAAGCGAGTCTGGGCGACTAGCCACAGTACCCAGTGCCCAGTACCCAGTACCCAGTGCCCATTACTTCTCGTTCTTCTTCGCCATCATAGCCTCCCAGCGGCTGCTTCGTCATTTGAGTACAGCTTTAATTACTTGGGTTAAACGCACAGTTTAAAGATGTGGTGTGAGAGTGAGTTTCGGCTTGATTTTTGAATCGTTTTTAAATTAAATCAAGTAATGTGAAATTCACTTAACATGGCAGTGTACAAGCAGGCTATATGAACATAAAAACGAGCATGTTTGAAGTATTCCTGGGGGGGTGCAACTGCCCCTTGCATTGTCTCTGAGAGCAACAGCTTCCCAATTGTTCTTTTTGTCTTTCATTTGGGGGACGGATTGCCGCACGTGTTCGGCATCAGCGCTTACTGGATTCCCACATTAAATCATTTGGCACAAACAGCTGCTCCATACATACATACGTACACGCTTACATATTAATTTCAATTTACATATTAGATATTAATTTTAAATGTAACCAAAAGAGTCTCACAAAAAACCCCTTGCTCGATATTTATGACGTGGACTAAGAATCAACTGTAAAATACTTAGTTGAGAGTGTTGCTATAAACCGAACCAAGTTGAAGCTAGGACTAAGGAAGTCATGTACAAGTATTCTTAATTAACAAAAACAAGCTTTGTATAAATACCTTTACTGTTGAGTTATATATTATAATGATAGCAAAATATAATTGGTTAAGCCCAGTCATCAATTACATTCAGCAAAAGCTAGTTAAAAATGTTATACGATTATTGCATTATAATCAAAGACTTTTATTGTTACATTACTTACTGGTTGGGTCCAATAGCTTGTTAATTTGATAATCTTAAATATTAAATATAAATTTAATATTAATGTTGTCTTCATTTTATAAAGAAAAGGATTATCTTAAAACTGACAGAGTATTAGTGTTCGGGAATTAAAGTTTTAAAATGTCACTTTTTTAATTTCGCAAAAATGGGAATGTCCCTTCGGATGAACATCGACTTATCTTAAAACATGGCAGCTAGGGCCACAAAAATTGCAGCACGATCCTTATATTAGATTATATGTAAGTAAATTTAAAATGAAGGGAATTTGTTCACGTATTCTTCTACACGGCTGAACGTTTACATATTACGTTAAAAATCAATTCCAAAAACCGTTTTGTAGTCAAAGAGGGGTTTAGGGTTTAGTTCATATGCTAACGCTCGAATTATAAATATTTTAAAAATGTATAATTTATTTTATTAATGTCAACACTATTGGGCTGTTACCTGCCACAGTATCCAGAGCACTTCTTTTTGCGTTTGTGCAGCAGGCTCCGTCCATCTCTTGTGGTTTCGTAGCGCCCCGCAGTTCGATGGAAATGGCCGCCTTGGCGATGGGCACCTGTTATAATTTGTTTGTCTGTTTGTTCGTTGACAGCAACGATTTTTATAAAATTCTTCCCTTGCTCTGGATTGTATCTGGCTGGGGCCGTGGTTGCATAAGTCACACGAATCCGACATACTTATACGCATATAGAAATATTTGATTAAGTATCTGCTCAGTCAGTGTACGGCCCCTTTTGGACAGCTTTTGGACAGCTTTTGGCCGCTCTTGCTGCCTTTGGTGGCGCTTTCTGCCGTCTTCCGTTGCTTTCAGCAATGAATGACAAACGAAATTTGTTTGCTTTTAGTTGAGACATTTTTCTTAGTCAACGGCGCGAACTTGAAAATTTTGAAACGTGTGTGCGGCAGTCTGTGCCCCTACCCCCTACCCCCTGTCCCCCTGTCCACAGTCCATGTGTCACGTCATCGATGCGGATATTTTTAATTTAATTTACAACAAAATGCCGCAAAAACAACAAAACCTAAAAACGGTGCCACCATAACACCATAACAATAACAATAACGACAGCAACGACAAACGTAAAGCGATCGAAAATCGCAAAAGTGCGCAAAACGAACAAAAGTCATAAAAAAATTATTATTACAGTTTTTAGTTTTTAATGAATTTATGAATTATATTTCAACCATAGCTAATAAAATTGTTAATTAGATTTTTCCAGCATGGCGACGACTCGGTCTCGCCCCGTCCCCGTCCCCGTCCCCAACCCCGTTCCCGTTCCCCACCCTAGCCACAGCCACAGCCAAAGCCACAGCCCCGACCGGGTCCCGCCACTGACAGCTGGCCGTTTGTTCTGCCGGCCGGTTTCGTGCAAGTGTGCGAAAAATCGACGATAAAAATACATGTACAAGTATTACTACCTACCTACATACATACATACACACATATGTATGTATGTATGTATGTATTTAATACTTACATGGATGCATATATATGTATGTATATGTAGGTACTCCTATGTATAAAAGCACATTATCAAAACGCTAATAAAAAGTCGTGTGTGTTAAAGGGCGTGGCTTGCACATTCTCGTACACATGTGCTTGTGCGCGCGTGTGTGTGCGTGTGTGTGTGTGCGTGTGTGTGTGTGCGTGTGTGTGTGTGTGTGTCTGGAGAGCCCATGAGTTGTGGAGCAGTTGTTAGTCGTGCGAGCGCGAAATCAAATGAAGGAACGAATAAGCGAATGCCAAATGAATTTTGGGTGTGTGGAGAGGGAACCTATAAACGTTTTTAATGCCCT